TTCTTCTTCTTCTTCTTCTTCTTCTTCTTCTTCTTCTTCTTCTTCTTCTTCTTCTTCTTCTTCTTCTTCTTCTTCTTCTTCTTCTTCTTCTTCGTCTTCTTCTTCTTCATTTAACGGACGTCATAATTATCTCCAGTTTAGTTATCACTTTGCCCATCTAAGATATCAATTTTGTATTTCAACCTACAAAAACAGCGATAGTAAGCCACAAACCACGTCCAGTGGTCCACTCAAAACGCATGACAATATACCTGATGCAAATATCAAATGTGTAACAGCACGGTGGAACTAGGTGCGCGTCAATTTTTGGGCTTATGATTTTATTGGGATCATCTTAAAGTTAACAACCTAAGTCGAGATACTTTCGATTGAAAGAGGTGCGGATCGCCAGGGGGGAATTAAGAGCTTAAATCGGTGAGTAAATGGCCGCCAAAGTTGGGTGACTTCCAAAGCTCTAGCCTCCTTAGAAACTGCAAATTTACTCTTTATGTGTGTATGTGTGTGTGTGTGTGTGTGTGTGTGTTTGTGTGTTTGTGTGTGTGTAAGTGTGTGTGTGTGTTTGTGTGTGTGTGTGTGTGTTTATGTTTGTGCGCTCGCGCCTGTAATCAACGTGTTTCAGTAAAAGCCATACAGAAATATATTTTTGAATGGACATGAAAGATGTTGATCTTAACCAAAGAATCTTTGTCTTAACATAAATAATGACAATGTTCTATGTACCTGGCCAGTCCGTCTCGTTATGACGTGGACGACCCATACGTCAGGAGCCTGAGCCCTGTCCGCTATGACGACAGACTGCGAAGTCCAGCTCGCTCAAGGAGGGTAAGTACTGAAATATACGGCCCCGATTGGACAAGATAATTTGATAGTTTGGTGGTTGGCGCGAGGTCTAGTGTGGTTCGCTACTTCATCCTATCAAACATTAAATTTATCGTCCTGATCCTTCCTCCTTTTTTTCCCCTTTGTTTAGTTTTCTTTCTCTCTTGTAACAGCTGTAATCTTCGGCACTTACATAACCCTGCTGTGTTGCAAGTGCCGTAAAACTATTTCTAAAACTAAAGGACATGACAAGTTTTCACGCAATAGCTAAGGAAAGCTTACTTTCGTAAGATGATTGATTTGGTGGGGAGGGGGGGGGGCAGACAGACTGACGATTGACAGAGATAGATACAGAGATTGAGACATCGACAACGAAAACAGATAAAAAGGAAGGAAAATTATGTTGTTGTTGTTGTTGTTGTTGCACTTTTGCCACAATTTAGATACATTTAATTTCATTGTCTGTCTTCCGACCCTGCCTGTCAGGGCAAACCAACCAGAACTATGGGGGATACAACATCCCTACAGAAAAGCCGAAAAAAAAATGTCTCCCTACTCCGGAATCGAACTCAGGTCTCCTCTACGTGCGAAAGCAAATCGCCTAACCACTTCAATACAGACAGTAGAGAGAGAGAGAGAGAGAGAGAGAGAGAGAGAGAGAGAGAGAGAGAGAGA